GCAACTTCTTGGCCTTCCCATTACTTCATATGCATGGAGGATAGGATAGTGGGGTTTCTCCTTCACAGTTTTATGGCTCCCCAAAGTTTCATGCAGAGAATTCAGTGCTGCACCCCTTAGCTTTCAACCATGGTCAAGCATTGGGGTTAGACTGTGCTGTAGTGGGATGTGTTCATCCTCTGGTTTGCCTCAGTCTACTTTGTCTAATTGTGATGAGTTTAATCAGGATGACTCCCAGGGAGCAGATTTAAATTTGATCATGCTTAATGAGAATATCTTCATCTGGTGCCCTTTTCTCAGCTTTATTTCTAGTCCCTGCCTCTTGCCAGACTCACCAAGTACCACCAGCCTTTGGCCCCTTTTTAGGCATGCAGTGAACTGCAGTGTCTGTGCCAGCTGAGAAGCTTCTTTGTTAAGATGTGTCCACTGTAGCCACACTGAAAAATGTACCTTTGGCCCTACTCACTGTTTTTACAAGTGCTGTTTGTGATGATTTCATCTCACCAAGGCCTGCAAACAGTGACAGCCTTCGAGTCTGGGGCTGAGTTTTGGAAGGAACTTACCTCTTTCACAATGAAAGGGCAACAGGTCTTTTGTGTCCCCTTATTTGAGGAGGGGAAGAGCAATTCTAGTTTCTTGTCTCACCTTCTGTCTTGTGTTCATAAGGCAAAGCAAAGCAAAATAAGGCCACAGAAATTCAACATCCTGATATTGGGCCACAGCAGCCTTTTCCAAGGCTCTTTTTTTTTTGTCTCTGCTGGGCATGGAGGCTGGATCAGCTGTATGTGAAGCTGGTTGTAAGCCTGGCCACAGCTTGGTTCAGGTCTGGTTTGGTTTAGGCTTGGTTTCAGGTCTGAAAACCAAATCAAGTCATGCTTTGTTCACATGTCAGTATCAAGCGTGAGAACTGGTGAGGGACCTGCAGTTCTCACCTCCTTTTCCTCTCCTGTTCCCTCTCACCAGGGCAAATATGATGAGGAGATTGAGGTTTATAAGCACCATCTGGAGCAGACCTACAAGCTGTGCCGCCCGTGCCAGGCTGCTGTGGAGTACTACATAAAGCACCAGAACCGGCAGCTCCGCGCGCTGCTGCTCAGCCACCACTTCAAACGCCGGGAGACAGACAAGACCTGCACTCAGGTACTGTTCAGGGAGAGAGGAAGGAATTTAGGAGGAAATGCAAAGAATATACCACTAGACTAGGGTTTGCTGCTGGGACAGGAAGGTAGTGACTTTGAGGCTCTTACTCCTGCGGTTGGGTGCATGGCAGCGGTTTAGAAGAGCATGGGATAGTTGCCACAGATGCTTCTAGTGTTAGTTTGAGGTTTTCCTCTTGCTGGTGTCACTCAGTGCAGTTGCCAGAAGGTAAGTCTAATGTAATAATAACACTGGAATGAAAATAGTGGGACAGGCAGAGAAAGGGAGGTAGGGAAGCCAATTTATGAGTACAGTGCAGGAAACTACAGAGTACAGGGGGGAACAAAAGAAGAATAGGAAGTGAATTATGACCTTCTCCTTGCCTCACTGCCCTGCTCATAGGGCTTCTCTAGCTCTGAAGTTGCTGCTTGCTAGTCTACAGCATCCCATGTGGTGTTGGCCCAGTACAGAGACTTACAAGGACTTGAGCAAAACTGCCCACCAAACCATACAGTGTGGAAATGTTTCATAAAGCACCATTTCAAATCCTTACTGCAGTTGATTCAGCCTCTAACAAGGTGTTTCTCCTTTCTTCCACAGAATTTTTGTTCATCCACCTCCTCTGCTTCCATAACCACACCAGCTCAGGTGGTATTCCTGCGCTTCCTGGCCTTCCTCAGCTGTGCATTCCTGGTTCTGATGGCCTTGTATGGGTCAGGCAACCCCTTCTCCCCCAGTACAGCAGTCCCTGCTCCTCTTCCCTCTGGTCCAGCACCCACTCAGAACAGGACTGGCACAAGCTCACGTGCAGAGCTGGGGAATGACACCTGGGTGAGGGTGACAGGCTGGAAGGAGCTGCTCCAGCTGCTCCCGGAGCAGATGGTGGAGAACCTGAGTGCCGCGTGGGCCTACGGGAGGAATCACCAGATGGCAGTGGCTGTCCTCGGGCTGTTCACCTGCCTGCTGGCCATGTTCCTGGCTGGGAGGATCAGGTGGGTCCACACTTGTCTTCTCTCTCACTTACAGGAAAGCTGTGTTGTGTCGGAGGTCTGTCTTCTCTCTCACTTACAGGAAAGCTCTGTTGTGTTGGAGGTATTTAGTCCTGTCTTGACTTGGTGCTCCAGGGGTAAACATTGGCCAGAATGGCACATGTAGTACTGGGTGACACAGTTCTCCTTGTTGTTCTTTGGGTTGCCAGCTGGCTGGCTGGAGATAGCAGAGCTTGCTTTGGATCTATGCCTTGATTCATTCAATTTAAGTTTGAATCTGTGAATGAAAAATTCCCCATGCAGCTCTGGTAGGAAATGGAACTGATCTCTTCAGGTGCTTACACAGCAGTGGGCAGGGCTGCAGATGATGTCACTGTAGGCAGAGGTGGTACATAACCTGCTGAATCTGTGTACCCTCCCCACCTTTTCCCCACCTTCTCTCTCCTTCCCCAGGACCAAGAAGGGCTTCACTGGTGTTTAAACTGTTTAAAATGTTTGGTGTCTTTTTTCATTGCAGGCTCCGGAGAATCGATGCGTTTGCTTCAGTCTTGTGGTTCATGGTGATGAGTCTGCATATAGCTGAGAGGTACCTGAAGACAGAAATCCCCAGCTGGCTGGACACAGCCAAATTTGGCACCACCTCCCTGTGCTGCTTGGTGGGCTTCACAGCAGCAGTGGCCACGTGGAAAACAACAGGCCATCGGAGATTCCGGCCCCGAAGGTCAGAGCCAGAGCAGTGACGCTGGGGGAAGGAGGAAAAAAGCCTTGTGAACTCTTTGTGACTGGTGCTTCTCTCTCCTCTTTTTATTTTCCCTTCTTCTGTTTCTTTTTTTTTTACATTAGATAAGCAGTGAAGATCTTTTCTTCCTTTTAATATATATCTCTCTATTATTTTTTTCCCCCCCATCCTTGCTTACCACTGTGCTAGCTGCTTGGAGCATTTCCACTGCTAGCCATGGAAGCTACTCCTGCTGCCTCCATTCTCCTTTTCTTCTGAATGCTACGTCAGCAGTGCAAATATCCAACTTGCCCAAAGCCAGTTGTTCCAGCAGCTGCTTCACAAACTGCTCCGTAAATGCAGCCTCCTCCCCATCCTGCTCCTCCAGCCAAAGAGATTCTGGCTCCTCCTGTCCTCCCGGTTCTTCTCACTGCCTCTTCATCCTTAGCCACTCACAGAGGAACCCTCTGCCTTGATCCACCATGGGGCTCAGCCCACCTTCATTCACTTTTCTAATGGTGCTGGTCATTTTAATTTGGAACTGATGAGAACTTGCCTCTGGATTTGGAGTCCCCGTGCCGTGTGCTGTGGTAACACTGCATGGTGTCCAGGCATGCGAGGAGGGGACCACATGTAGCCCATAACCTGGTTCTTCTGGCCTTCCACTGTGTAGCATCACCTACCTGCATGCTCCCTCACTCTGCCCTTCTCCTGGCTCCTGTTTTAAATGAAAAAGTGTCCTTAAGTGCTTTTGACTGGAACTTTCAATAATTTATTTTAAGGGTGCTTTAAAAGGTTACGTAGCTCAGGGTGTCTTGATTTAATATCTGAAAATATTCAGCTGTTTGATGCTAAATTTTGAAATCTACCAGTAGCTGTTGCTTTCCATGCTGGTTTTCCTTGGGTTTTTTACCCACTCACTCTCCAGAAACATCTGCTTACAAGCACAACTGGATAAAAATGTGTATGTTCCTCCTCTCCTGTAACCTTAGAAAGAGGAGAAATATGGGACTACCAACCTCATGCTGTGATATAGGATCAGCTTTCCTTGTACATCTCTACCCAGTCAATGTTTATTGCTGAGAACACAGATCAGGAGGATGTGCTGGGGAGGGTGGAAAGGATGGGAGTTCTGCTGTGGGACTGCATGGTAAGAGGTGGATTTCCAGGCTGCTTAGAGGGGTTCTTTTTTGAAGTCTGGCATTGATGCTAATGCTGCTGAAAAAAAGGGTCTGGAAATTGTGACTTGGAGTTGAGTGCCTGGCAGTCCTCTGCTGACAGCTGGGGTGACTGGGTGCTGCTGTGTGGGGAGGAAGGAGCTGCTTGGGGTTTTGGAGGATTAACTCGTTGAGGCCTCTAAGGATAAGCAGTCTGATTATCCTGCACTGTTGTTTGCAAGGCACTCCAGTGTGTTTCACATATGGATTTGGGTCTTTCAAGTGGAAATTGTTACAGAAGATCTGCTGGTTTGTGTTCAGAATGGCACAGTGGAACTTGCCACGATAATATTCTGATAGAAGTTAATTGGATGTCATGATCTTCCAATGCATAAACTCTAAAATAATCACAATGGAGTTCTCACCATGAAGTATCTGCAACTCCTGCTGTAAGATTCAGACACTACCGGGTGCTGCCAGTGCTGGTGAGGTTAGAGAAGCTTTTTTAAAGGAAACAAAAGGTATTTTGTAGCTTTTCCTAGTTCCTGTTCCTCAAACCAGTGTTCCTTGTGAAAGCACAAAGGTAGCTCTGTGAGATTCATTAACAAGAAGCCAAGCTGAGTGTGTCATGGGAAGGTGCAGCTCCAGGCTGAAGGACCATGTGCCTGTGACTTGCCAAGGGAAGGGGCCACACAAACCTGCTTCCCATCTGGGCTCTGCTTTGGAACCTTCCAGTGCCTTCAGATAACTGCAATATCCACTTCCAAGCTAACAGACACCTGTCTCCATTCTGGTGCTTGTGAGTGATGCTGATCTGAGGGTTGTTTGCTTGTCCACAAAAGGAATCCAGCACCTGGTGCACTCTTCTGCACTCCCATCAGTTGTCAGTCCTGATCCAAAAGACTTGTCTTCCAGCTCACAGTCACAGGTTGTTTCTTACTCCAGTCTCAGACTTTCAAAATGATGATTATAACCATTATGTCTCATTTTCTGCTGGGACATTTGATTGAATTTAGAGAAGACTTCATCAAAACATGGAAAAAAAGCCAGCAGAAGGGTGCAGGGTCCTTGGTGCTGGGTCAGACTTTCACAGTCACTCTGGTGCCTCTTTCCTACTCTCCATTAGGGCATTTAGTAGCAAATGTTCCTTAGAAATCCAGGGTTTTTTCTATACCTGGCAGCCTGTTGTAGCAGGGAGCAGTGTTTAGACAGTAATAAGCTCATGAAAGAATGGGAAGTGGCAGGGGAAAACCAAACAAACCAAAAGGGGGAGGATTTTGTGTGCTGTAACTGTCTGCTCAGCTCTCCTTTCACTGCAGTGATCCCTAGAATGTTTCCATCTCTGGAAAACTCCGCACTGCACTGTCCCTCCCAACACCACTGTTCTGCAGCCCATCTGCTGTTAGAAGTGAGGTGGACAAAGCCACCTGAGGAGATGGTCACTGCACCAAATCCAGTGCCAGCTCTGCCATTCTCTGACCCAGTTGCTCAGGAGACACAGGAGATCTTGAGCTATTTTGGGTATTAAGTGAAATAAGACATCTAGACTTGCTTTTTTTTCTTCCTTCCTTCCTTCCTCCTGCTTCAGGCCTTTCAAGTTGACTCCAGAAAGTTAAATGGAGGAAAAGACTGATTTAGCTGTGATTGTCTTCTGCACTTAGCTCTCCAGTCTGGATTGAAAGTTCCTCTTTCTGCTCTCCTGTGAGGCCTGTCCAGGTGATGGGAGGAATCTCATGTTCCAAGGATATCTTGAGATGGCTAGAATGAGGAGGGGTGTGAGCAGCTGACAAACTGTGCTCATGGTAACGTCATGTCTGATTTGCATCAGCAATATCCTTTTTAAATAATAATAAAATCAGTCTGTCAATGTCCTTGCCCAGTAGCAAGGAAATTCAGTAGCAGCTTCTAAAGATGCTCAGCACCCTCTTAAGATGTTTTTCTTTCAGGGGCTGAAAGTCAAGGCTGAGTTAAGTTTCACTGTGTCCTGTTTCTTATCTCCTCTCAGCAGCTGTTTGTTTTCCTCCCTTCTTTTTAGGAGCACTTCAGCTTTTTCTTTCAATTTAACTTGCCCCATCTTTTTGCTCCCTGAGGTCTGGCACCTTTTGCTGTGTTTTCCTGTTACATGTTACCTTGTTTTCCTGGGCCTGATCTTTTATTCTCTTTTTCCCTGTGTACTGCTGGGATGGGATGGGGAGGATACACTAAATATCAGGAACAGGCACTTGGTAGAACTGTGGGAAGGAGTGGGAATTACACTGTAAAACCTGAATAATATTGTCAAGGAATATTTTAGCAAGTGCAAATCTATATTGAATTTAAAAGTCTTTCAACCTGGGAGATGTGTTAAGTGCAGTTGACATCCATTTGTTTTCTCTTTATGCAGATTAATACAAGTGAAGTATATTTACTTAGTTACACTGATTTCTATGTCAGAACACCAGAAAGCTCCTTTGGTTTTTGTCCAAGCTGTACAACTGATCTCTGTGGTGCTTTGTTCACAACTTACAATAACTTTTGGACTTAGAACTGGAAAAATCTCAAAGGTGAAACGGAATAACACAACACATACTGAAGTGAGATTCAGTTTTAATGCCAAAGAAGCTTTTGTCTTTGCTCAGGTGTCAACTTGCCCCTTCCTGGTGCCTCAGCACCTCTGTGCTGCTGCTTCTAAAACCAGCAAAAAGCCTCAGAGCCTTAAAACCAAACTTGTAGCAATTGAAATTTTGGTCTTCAGAGACTCTGATGCTGACAGTCTGCTCTCTTTCTGCTTTTCTCACATGCTTTTGCTGATGGTAGAGGATGATTAATCTTTCAGAGGAGAGGGAAGAAAGGAGGAGAAGGGTAGGTTTTTTCCAGAGGTGACTAATAACCTGTAGCATTTGATCTGTACCAGTTGTGTCTCCTTAGACAATGAGGCCTGCAGAAGATCAGTTATAAATTAGGAGCATTTTACTGATGACTGTTTTCTGGAGGAAAATAATA